CCTACCTGCCAAGTTTGAAAAAAATTGGCCAAGCAAAAAAAATCACAGAGGAAATCATACGTGAAAACACTGAAAATCACACACACAGACACACACACACACAAAATGGCAAAAGTGATTACCGGTATAAGGGCAATCCTAGCGAAGCGGATCGCCAATAAGACATGCCGACAACTGGTGAGTGGTGGCAAACAATGCCAGCAACAGAATGAGAAATGCTATATATATATCAGTATAATATTTCTCTAAAATTACCCCGGTACCTTGTTAAAGGTTTTGTTTTGTTGATAATACCCAGGAAAAATGCTGCTAAAATTGGTAATTCTGTGACACTTTCAGCTGGTTCTATGTCAGATTCCTAGAAATAAAAGGAAACATTTCACAAATGAGAGATATATATCCCTATTATACAGTACCAGAATTATAGTCATTCCCAAATGAAATAATGAAAGTCAAGGCAGAGGAAAAATTGATTTTTACCATTTGAAGTTGACATTCACATCCACCCCAGAATTAAATGTTTTGAATGGATTACAATAAATATAATACTTTCAGTAATAACATGTTTGTAGACAATATATCTGTTTTATGTGCTCAAAAAATTATTAATAGAAAAGTAGAGATGTTTTATCAAAGCATAACCTACCTTTCTGAGTGCATCCATTACGTCTGTCAATACAGCTGTCATAATGGGAGCCATAATATGTTGACTTAGTTGGGGATTTAATTTCTGATATCTTTGACAACATCTCAAGATTTCTGATAAACCAGGTGCTACTTGACGAAGTAACTGACAAAAATAAAAATCAAGATACAAAATGTATGATTGATGCAAGGTGTGAGCAAACAAAGATGGAATATAATCACATTGTTAGCAGCAACAGTCTGGTGCCCTACGCAGAAATGCGGGAAAGTCTTTTCAGCTGAACTTTTGCCAAATGCATTGAGTGGTGTGAATACAAACAAGATGGTAAGAGAGCAGTTGTTGAAATTACTGTTCAATTGTATGCTTGAGATTGGCAAGTGGAATAAAATAAATTTGCACGCCTGTTTTTTTTTCATGGTTTGCTTTCAATAAAAATTTAAAAAAAGCAATTTTACTAAATAATATTATTGGCCGATTAGTTAATAATTTAATGTGGCTTCTTTGTTTAGCATGTTGGCTGAATTTTGAGTCATTCTAATCGGGTTGAGCACCCTCAGTAAAGCACACAGATGCTCTAGCAGACAGCAAGGTGCAAAAAATCATGTCATCATGGAAAACAGAAGTTACTTATGCTGCAATAATTTAAAGGCTACAGAAAGTTGTGTTTCAGATGCTCATTCTGAATATTAATCAAATTTTTTGTATCTACATGAAAATGAAATGATGTTTGTGGCTGTTAAATAAGGCGAGTTGTTAAGCGTTCTTGGTATGAAACAAAAGTATTTGTAAATAATGTTTAATGCAGGGCTGGTAACATATAAAGGTTACAAAATGTAATAGTTCTGGAGTCTGGTACACAATTTTGAGTTTTAAGTATCTAATGGCAGACTTTATAAAACACGACATGACAATGTTATTTGATATAGGGGTGGTATAAAAGTTAATTTTGTATTGCGCAAGTGAAAATCACAATAAGAAACTATAAATCACAGAAGTGAAGATGAGTGAACCTAAAACATTGTACAAACACTACAAAAAACAGGCAACATACAAATCAGGACTCGAGAATTTTTTTAAAATGTCACTTGCCACAGCGCAAAGTAAATTTTTAATTTCACTTGTCCTGTACAGAAAATTACTTTTCCCACAAATTGGGAATAAAAAGTTCAGTATAAAACAAAACAAAATTTGTTCAGTTTACTTATTTATTATTTCCCTAACTTTAACAGAATCACGAAACGTCTTCAAGCCACACAGCTACGAGTTTGATCGTTCTTCTTTGGTGAACCCCATCAGGTTCTGTCACCTATCACTCACTTCCCAGCTGCTGTATTCGTCCAACTAAACATTATTTTGTAGAAAATACAACATATGCTTTAGTTTAAGATTTCGTTTATATTTTTAAAATTGGATTACCTTAAATAATTGCATGAAATCAATATTTTTTATTGAAAATTAAAACAAAATACGTAATTTGTTTATGCTCGAAATGTGGGCTACAATTTTAGAACTACTTTCAGTGTGTTAAAATGGCAGCCATTTCGTTTTGCAATTTTTCAAGCATTTGTTATTACATATCACTGAACCTACTTAATATTGTCAAAGTTTTACATTATCTTTATTTTGAGCGTTTTTAAGATTTAATTCTGTGTAATAAAACTTTTGAAAACTTGTATTGTAGCCGGTAGCATACTTGATGTGATTATTACTTGCTTTTAAATGGTTGCATATATGGACTACCTTGTACGCAATTATCTACGCAATGAAAAAACAATTTGTATCAACTATTTTCCTTTACAATGTAGCACTTTGGGAAATCAAATTTATGTGACTGGAGTAAACCACAAAGACAATGGTCTTATTATTTCAGTTGTCCGACGGGCAATCACATTTGCATTCAGACTTGTCTTGACTGAGAATTTACTTGACACGGGCGTCAGACGATATGAATTTGCGAGCCCTGCAAATTGGTAATGTAAATGAACGTATGTAAAAAATGCGAACTGAACCAATACAGAGGTTTGGATTTTTCAAAATCAGCACCAGTTACAAATTACCTGTGACTCATTTTACTTACTTCTGGTACATCAGTTTCTGTTTCTTTCTGTTTGTGCGAACATTTCATCAAAGATTTCACAATTTTTCCCACCATGACAGAAGCTGCTTCTGATAAAACACTCTCTTCAACATACTTTTCAATTGTATTACATTGTTGAGTCATTTGATATAAAAGTCTGGTAAGACTTACAAGAAAACATCCAGCGTGATCTGTAAGAAAACAGATGAATAAACATGGTATATTTTTAGGATGACCAAGGCAGATTCATGATAGTTCCTGGAAATCCCAAGGTATAATGTACATGTATGAGCAATCTGTGTATAAAGACCACCTGCCTATAGTGACCACTTTTAGGCAGTCCCAAGGCATAATATATGAGCAACCTGTGTATATAGAACACCTGCCTATAGTGACTACTTTTAGGCAGTCCCAAGGCATAATGTATGAGCAACCTGTATATAAAGAACACCTGCCTATAGTGACCACTTTAGGAAGTTCAAACATAACATACATGTGTCAGTACGATGACAACTCTTGAACACACCCATGCAGTGACATGTCTGGATCTCCATAATCACTGTGAACTACACCGTAACTACAAGTGATATGCACGTTTACGTACCTGTTAGGAGTAATGACGTGGTCAAGTCTCCAAGATGGTGATAGAAGTCATCATTACCAAAACCAATAATAACCATTTCACTAGCAATAGTTATCTGCATCTATGAAACCAAGAATATACAACCAGAGACATCACTGTTATTATGTTGTGAAAACATACAACCAGGGTTAAAAATAAGAATAGACATCACTGTTATTATGCTGTGAAAATCTTAACGATCTGTTTCTGTGCAACCCACTCCAAATAAGTCAAGAATTCTTTTAACAAAAAATGTTAATTTTTTGTAGTGTATTTACATAGCTGCATGTGTTTTACATAATTACTGTCAATGACATAGCCCCTGTTTGTATTGAGTTACAATCTCATAAAATGAAACATATATAGTATAATCTCATACACACTCTCAGACTTCTCATAAAGAGTAATACCAGAATTATGAGGTAAAATAGAGGAACAAACTGAGAAAGAGAACATACTGTAAAAACATTGAAATAGCCACAGGCCATTTTAGCAAATTAGATGCAATGCATATATTAACAAGTCATTGTCAATGACACGTCCCCGTTCCGTTCATATTTGAGTGACATATACATTCAAAGCAGCAACAAAATGTATGTTGAACTGCATTCAGTAAAACAAAATAGCCACCAGTCAGCCATTTTCAACACAATCCAAAAAAAAATTTAAACTAAATTTGCCCATGCATGACTAAGATTCAGTTCCGGTATGGAGAAAATGTGCAATTTTTGACCTTAAAAGGACTGGCCCAAATGCACAGGCATATGTATGATATAATGTATGATGTGTACGTGAAGTTTGAACTTGATCTGTCCAGGCATGTCCGAGATATGGATCGAAAACTAAATTCTTTAAAACAAAATGGCCGCCAGTTGGCCATTTTGAACTTGATCCGAAGAAAAATTGGTA